AAGGGTAAATAAGTTTTCTTGAGGTATCTTTGTCAAATATTATTTTATTTTTTAGTAAGAGTTTTAACTTTCGACTGATGCCAAGAACAATGTAGTAAGACGTACTTATTTAAAAAACAATAAATCACTTATAAAAGTAAAAAATAAAACAAATAAAAAAAACATTTGCAACAAAAGCTGGAACATCTTATAATCACTTTTGACAAAAAAGTGACACAGAAATGTTGTATAAATGCCAATTTACGTTTATATTATTTTAAAACCAGTATTCCCTCTTTTGAGCATGCAGGAATAGGTGTACCTATAAAATATATACATAGACCGATAATTTTTATTGTCAACGTTTTTCGGTCTCGGAAATTGACGAAGATTTAGATGCGCCATTCCATTGTGACCTTTTTTTTCATTTCCGTGTTATACTCTACAGAGGTGAGAGAGGTATACAGTTTTAATGACATTCTTGTCGGCACTTGATTCATTAATTGTTCTTATTAATATAAAAATCGTTGATTGCAGAAGTATTTACCCTCTAGATGTACATATACAATAACGTTCCATACATCATTTAGTATGCGCAAACATGTACAAAAAAAAAAAAAAAGCAGTCCATGTTTAAATAAAATATTTGTGAGTAGTAACCCCGAATCACATGAGACACACGCCAAACGCGGATTCGTGAAAGAATCATTTCATTCGTGGAAAAAAAAATCAAGGAAGAAGTAAAGACAATTGAACTGTCTCTCATTGAAAATGAGGGCGACTCTCGAGAATCGTGAATTGCGCAAAAAAAGGATAGCTAAAAATGGAAGGAGAAAAAAGAGAAAAACTAACAAGAAAAAGTGGGGTTGGACTTGGTTTTCATTCTATTTCTTTTTTACGCCTCTCCAGAGACGACTGTGAAAACACATGGCGAAAAACGAGGGAAAAGTGAGTGTCAAGGTTTATGCAAACGACGCATGTCTACGACTGGTATTTCAATCTCGGTTACAGATTTATTCTTCGATTTTTTTTCTGGAAAAAATTTATGGCTTAGGATTTGAATTATTTTTGGCGGCATTTACTGAATTCTAAGTATCTCTTTTATTGAAATCATTAACCATGGATAATAGTAATACGTAACGCCGTGGTACTCAATATATCGAGGATAGCAAAAAAAATGCATTCTTGTTCTAGTAAGTTTTTTTCCCCTTCATTCAAAAAAAAAATTAAAAAAAATAATTCAAAAATAATCTATGTACTTAGTTTTTAATTTTTTTAACTCAAAGCTACGTTGATATGAACATACTTTGACTTATTTTAATTCGAATAAAAAATTTAAAACAATGCTGTTTTATTTAAGCGATAATACGTTTTTTCTGAATTAAATTTTATTAATTAAAAAAAAAGTTATTTTTATTTTTCTTTAATTTTTACAGAATATTCTTTTGAAGGGAGTCCTTTTTTTTTTTTTTTTTTTTTTTTTCAAAATCATCACTTTATTAAAAAGTGCAAAATCAGATATTTGAAATTTTTAACGATTCAGGAAGAAAAAGCTAATTTTATACTTTATGAGATAAAATAAAAACCGATATCAAGAATATTTTTGACTCATGCATTAAACATCAATTTTTTACGCGATCAACAACGGATTGATTCAGGTACTGATATTTATTTGTACATGTTAATTAGTATACGTATTTGGTGAAATAAAAATAATAGGTCCAAAATAGTAACATATAATTGAAAGTAAACAATAAAAAAAAAAAAGTATGGAAAAGCCAGTTCACGCGACAATGGCAATATTTTTCATATTCCTCCCGAATAAATACAATCGTGCTAGTATACGGTTTGTACGAATTTCCGGGAGAGCGGGTGTGCTAAGGATCATCGTTATCGACCTATCATTACGCCCTTCGAGTAATCGGCACTTTTGTTCACTTCAGGACAACCAAAACGACTCTGTGATAAATCAATCCCATCCAAAGATACGTAAAAAATAAAAAAAATAAATAAAAAAAAAAGTCTATCATGATTATCAACATAAACACAGCCAACTAGCAAGAACAGTTGAATAACCGTACCGGCTTCTTCTCCGGGACATGGGAAAAGCACACATTCGTACAACTGCGAGCAGAAAATCTCAACCTGACTGCGGCACGCACAGTTCGCCAACGCGAGAAAAACTTTTTTTTTTCCTCCTCGCGATGTTGTACTAGAAAAAGTTTTGCCCCCGGTATCGTTTCGGAATTACTTGCTGCCTCCAATACTTACTCATACACCCGGATGGCGGGTAAAAGTTTGAGCCTCTTTTTTTTTTTTTTTTTTCCTTGTTTCTCTGGAGTAGGTAGTAAGCAGTCTTGTGTTTTCGAGCTTCACGGCACGCTGACTGATTTAATTTCAGTTTTTATTTTAGTCTCCTACTCATACGACCAATTACTTGGACATTTTTTAAAACGCAACATCATTACTCCGTCACGTGCGCACTTGACTCCGTCAAGTAACGAAAAAAAATGGTGATTATTAATTTCAATTATTGAAAAACGACTTTATTGGTTGGACGAACAACTTATCGATAATGTCATGTACGGCACGAACTTGAGTAGTTTGAATGAGTTAAAATTATCGTATCACAGTCAAGCTTCAATCGGAGTTTCATATTAATTAGATGCTGTGCGCCAAGGTACTGTTCTACAATAATATTCATAACATTCGTATGAATTAAAAAAAATTTTTTTTTTTCCAAACGAACACTTAAACCCTACTAGGCTGCTCTGTCATTAGCAAGGGAGCATAATTAAAAAATTGCACGTATCCGAAGCAGGTTATTTCCAGCGTATCTCTCATACGCTGCGGTTATAATTAACGTACCGTTTAATTAACGTCGCAATTCTGCGAGACGCGACGACGCTTTTACACATATAATGCGATGTTAGAACAATGAGGGGAAGCGGAAAAGTTTCGCGCGCAATTTCAGCTCCAGTGCGAGCAGTTGAAACTATCGCGCAAAAGTTCGTAGGTGCCCCGCGTCAGTGACGTTTCATTCAGGTTGAAGATGCGCCACTGAGTTTTGAAGTCCCGTGCCCGTCGAGAACAGAATCATGCAAAAATTAACTTTACTCATGTTTGTCACTTTTTCGCAATTAATTTGAATTTTTTCGTTAAGCGTAATAGAGTGCAGGTACGTTGTTAAAAATTGATTCAAGTATGAACGGAGTGCACGTATTTTTTGAGAAAATTACATTTTACACAGATTTTATGGTACCACGGTTATGATGGATTTACTTCATGAGATTTTATTGTTGTTGCTGTACTCTATACTTTTTAAATCGATTACAAGTACTTTGTGATCGCAAATGTCGAATTGCGGCTAGAAAGAGAAAAGTTGTCGAGTTGCGACTGAGCAATAAGCTTCGTTTTCTAATGTATGTCGAATTGCGGATGGACCTTTCCTTATCTACTGTCGAATTGCGGCTGAGTAACGTTCCCATTACTAATTGATATATAACGACATTTTTCCGTCACACTTTACCCAGGCTTTGGACTGGCAGTTCTAAAACTGGCATGTTTAAAAAATATTATTTTTGTGCAATGAACAAATAAATGTGTCACGGTCATCTTGGTCTTTTCAGCACATATACAATCACACAAGTAAAAATATTTTAGATACAGTTTTTATAAAATTAAATCGAGTGTTTACTCCTTGTCGATAACGTAACATTTCTCCATTTTTCAAAAAACAACAGTTAAATGAAAAGAAAGAATTAATGGATGACTGGTGAATATTTGCGTCTTCTTGCTGGCTCAGTAAACGCAAAACTGACTGGCAATATTATTATTAAGGTAGTTTGTACATACATCACTATCCAAAATTGACGTCGATATAATATAAATAAATACGTAAATAATAACAGTAACCGCAATTCGATAGTAGCTAAGAAAAGGCCAGCCGCAATTCGACATACATTAGAAAATGAAACTTATCGCTCAGCCGCAACTCAACGCTGATTAAACGCTTACTTTCACTCGAGCCGCAACTCGACATCAGCCTTTGTGATGCTCTGTCATTCGATTTTCATATTGTATACCACCTGTAGATGATAAATTTTGCTCAAATTTTTTTTGTTTTATTTTTACAAACACGTCTCGACATAATGTGTACTACACCTTACCTATGGAAATTTTATCTATATATATATAATTTAAACGCCTCAAACATGTAGTAGAGAACATGTATTTCAATTAATGACACAACTTTAGGCATTTGTTTTTTTTTTTCCAAACCCGATAAACAAAACACGTGGTACGCCTCAATCAGTTGGACAACAAAAAAAAACTTCCGTCACGTGACAATCAATCTTTTGAGAAATAAAAGGGCACAAATTTTTTAATCGTCCACCAACTTTCATCATATCTTACTTAATGTACACTATTTCTACACAAAAATCTCACGTGTTTATGTATAGGACAATTATTTTGCGTGATTCTGACGTACCATCGGTTTAATATAATTTAGTAAAATGTACAAAAAATTATAGCTGTGCACAAATCATTAACCCGTGAAACCAATTATCTTTTGCATGGCTTTAAATTACACTGAAAGAGACCTGCAACGGCTTCCCGCAAATGATCCTTACCACGCGGTTATTTGTCTCGAAAAGCTCGTCCCAGCTTTTTCGAAAACTTCCCGCCACTCATCCAGAGCTCCTCGTTCTTTTTTTTTTCCCAAAAAAATACACGAAAAGGCACGAATCTTTCATTTCACCTACACCGAAATGAGCTCCTGAAATCCAGTAAAAAACTCCAAGGTATAGAAGAGCGCGCTCCGGAGCAAAAATCCCATCCACCGCAACCGCAAATACTTTTCCGCATTCTCTTTTACTCCCCAAGTAAAAAAGAGGACTCCCGCAGCTATCGGCTGCGGCCAAAGTGCAAGGGAGATTTTTCAGCGATCCAAGAGGGAAAAGCGCAAACGGAGGGGCCGGGGAGAAAAAAAAAAAAAAAAATACCATCAGCAAACTCACCAGAACCTCAGCGGCGAAAAAGCACGGTCTCAAGCTCGACGGGGGGAATCCTTTGGCCCGAGACCCAATTGTTTGACAAAATCAATGAATGATCTTTGCACGTGTTTCCCGTCGAGTTCTCAGCCACCGCGGCACAATCGAGACATCACTCGGGCGCGCAAACACACGCGCACTCAATCGACTTACCGTGCGCACCCTCGCGCGAGACGTACCGAGGCGCAGGTCGGGCGATACTGAGCTTTTAGCGCCGGCTTGCCTGCACACCAGCCTCGCGCCGCTGATCCATAAGGTTTGCGTGTGTTGTGTACAGGGTTGGCGCACGCGCTACCACTCGGTTTTTTCCTTGTGTGTGTGGGTATATTTACCACAGTGGGCAGCTGTGCCGTGTGTTTAAAAAATTTTCTTTTATCAAGCAAGGGAGTCCTTTTTTTTTTTTTTTTTTTTTTTTTCATTGAGACAAATTTTACTTTATTTTTAAGGTCTGCGATAATAGTGTCCTACTTTTATCATTCCAAAGATTAAGGGTTTACAATACGAGTGCAGGTATGAAATGAAAATCAACAAAGTTTCAAGACAATTCGCAAGTACTGATATTCAGTTTGGTTTTTTTCTTATGTTGAAAACATAATCTGCCTGGTTCCAACTATTGCATCACTCATTACTGTACGTACGTATTATTAAATAAAACGTTTTATTTTATTTTCATTATTGGTATAATGTGTAATGATTTAAATTAACTTACGCGCGTTGACTGAATGCGGGTGCAGTACAAACTATAGATTATGTTCACATATTGGTAAAGAGGATTTATTCGTATAAAGATGACATGACAACACCCCAACTTGAAAGAGCACGAATAAGGTATTAATAATCTGTGAGAATCATGTAGTCAGAAGCAGATATGTGGAGATGCAGTGACAGGAAGGCAGTGAAAGCAAAAAGAAAAAAAAAATGAAAATGACATTGAGAAAAAATAATAAGGCATACGAAATAAAGAAAAGATAGAGGCAAGTTTAATAAAATCACAGAGATGGATCACAATGAAAGAAGTGTAGAGATGTATGGAACAAGTCAAGTAAGATCATTCAGAGATATCGGGTTTGATTAGTAAAGACATAATTTGATGTATAGGAAATCAATGCAGAGGTGCATTGATAAAGAAATGCAAATGGATCATAGCAACAAAGACAAAGAGATTAATACCTGAAAGAGCGACACAAAGACAAAAAATTAAACAAACATGGGTTGAAAAATGACTTTGAAATTGAGATAAATATAAAAATACAAAAATAATGATGATCAATACACAATTGGCAAAACCAATACCACGAATAAGAGTAATTATAAGGAGACACGTATGAAGCGCCAGTAATGTCAAAGCAAAGCATAGAGATAAATATTAAGAAACAGCAGTATAAAAGCTAAGACTTTCATTTACAGGAACTAAAAGTAGGAAGCTAAGATCAACAGAACAACCAAGCGTAGGAACAGTGATACAAAACGGAGATACAGAAAGAAAAAGTTATTTATTAGGGTATAAAGAAGCAAAGATTTCCATGCAGACGAAAAAACAAAAAATAGCCAAAAAAGTAAGAACAAAATGAAAAAAAAGATGCTAAAAAAGAGTGTACGTGGTGGCCAAAGAAAAAATACAAACACACGTATACTGGCAAAACAGGATTCAGAACTATTTGTTTTCTCCATTAAACAATTGCAATTAAAATTTAATTCTCAATTGAAAGTTCTTTTTACTTAAGTAATAATTATAACTGGTGGTTAAAAGTTTTAAAAACTAATCATTTAATTCAGTTGTTAATTAAAAGTTTTTTTTAATTAAAAACTAAAATAAAATTATTCAGTAATTGGTATTTTGATCATATATTAATTTAGTTGTTTTGTGATGTACGTCATAAATGACACCTCTTTGTTTACTCGCTTTTTTTTAAACTTAAAAAATAGTACATCTGAAAGATTCAATAACATTTAATATTATAATTATAAACATAAAAAATAAAATTTAATTCTTAACTGAAACGTATTTTACTGTTTCAATTAGAAATTAACTCGTAATTGTTGATACAACTGTTATTGATGAAATAATTGATGAAATTATATAGAAGCCCGACTGTTTTCTATTTTAGGGTAGAAAAGTATATCATCAATATTTTCACGACTCCAAATTTGCATGCACTTAGTAGCTCTGCCTTTAAACATGTACCGGGTTAGTTTCTTTCGTCAAGGGACCATTACGAATAAACTAATTTTACTGCACTTTCTAAGAGTATGGGCAACCGAGTGACGGAAAATGGTATTAGCACGCACACGCTCGTGTCTGTTCAGCTCAAAGAGTATACGCGCATACACGTACTCAGAAACGATGCAAAGGCATCGTGTGACCGAGAGGCACACCACTGCGTCTCATTAATTAACGCCGTGTCGGTTGAATGTGTTTCCGAACCACCTTTGGCTTAACAAGCGAGTCTGCGTTTTGGAGTCTCTCGAAACACAAATTTGGTTACAGAGACTGAGGAGAACTTTCCGGGCGGAGGCGTTTGCTTGGTTTGACCGCAAGATCGGCGATATATAGCATATCCGAGTCACTTTATTCATTATTTGGCCCATTAGGCGGGATGATTGCTGAATTTTCATTAACTCCTTGACACGATTTACGTTATTGTGTCTGTCAGTTATTTTTTTTTCTGTTTGGCTGAGCTTTGTCACTGTCCTTGTTGAATATTTTGGTCGAGCGCGTGATTTTACTCGGAAAAGCTCAGAAAACAAGCGGGAAAACGAGCCATTCTTTTTTTCGGCGGGTACTGCGAAGGGGAGCTTTTCGATTGGAATCCTCGAATTTCCCGAAAACGTCTCGGTTGACAGACGAGAGCACTCGAACTCGCTCGTCGATAAAACGTCCGTCTGACATTGGAATACCGTCGGTGCTTGAGTCGAGCCAAAGATAGAACTGACCGGTCGGACACCCCTTTTATTTCGAAAACATGGAATCAGTTTTCCATACCGGTTTTATTGTTTAATGAAAATAGGGCAGTTTTGGACGCGTATTTGAAATTGCATAAACATATACTTTGTGGGTATAAAAATGGGAGAAGAAACGCTTCTTCGTTTAGTAACTTTTTGAAGAAAAAAAAAGTGAAAAATCAAGAATGGCACACGTGAGCGGTTATATTACGAATTGAACGCCCCGTGGATTCTTTGGTCACACGTGGAGACATGATAAAAATACTAACGAAGGACACTTTATTGCTTTTATACCGTACATGCATAATAAAATGCTCTATACTTTTGCTTCCTTGAACAATATTTTTTGCACCGGTTAAAAAGTTGAAAGTTGTTAATACACCATATAAAAATGTTTTCTTTATGTAACAATAAAAGTATGCTACTCTCGAGAAAATGTACGTCTATGAGCGTGGGTTTAAAAGTTTCTTTAACCTTTTTTAAAATAAACTTTTGAATACGCTTTTTTTAAAAGCGTTTTTTTTTTGTGGCAAATAGTACTTGAGCTTATTTTAGTTAATGAAGCTCTCGTTTGACCTTTTATTAATTTCACTTCACAGAGAACTTAACTACTCAGCTATTATGACGTTTTGACCAAACACAATGAAAGATCATAAATCCTCCACAATTAATTTATTGCATTTTTATTTCTCTATAAATTTTTTTTTGTTCAAACGTACTGAAAACTAGTATGTACTTCATACGGTTTTCATTGCATGAATTTTTTTCAACACAAATTTTTTTTTTGCATACCAAGTTGCCTGAAAGTGTGTTAATTGAAAACAATTTTTACTGCTATTATTTGAAACCAAAATTTTGATTTAAAGAAATTAAAAATTATTGTGTACAATCGAACAATGTTTGAACTGATTGTAATTCGAAAAAGTAGAAGATAGCTTTCTGAATTTGTTTGATTTACAGTTATAAATCCAAAAGTATCATAAAGTTTTACGAGATGAATCTAGATAAGATGAAAAGTTGTTAAAATTTCGATAAAAATAAGTTCTTACTACGTAAAAAAATTTTGTACTATTCCTAAAAGTTTAAATATATTCGACTAATTGTGGATAAATACCAAAAATCAGTGTATCTTAACATTCATAAATTATAAATCATGTGTAACGATTTAGTAACGCAGCAAAATATTTTGATAATTTGGATTTTTGCTTTAAAAACGCTTATGATAATATACTAATAACCTCATCAGTCAACTGACTGATATTTTTTAGTTAAAAACTTTATTTACTTAAAGTTTTCAAACATAATATTATCAAAAAATTTTTGTTGAAATTCATCTTTTATACCATAACGTGACATTTAGAGTTTTATGAAAACTCATTTAAATTTTTTTAAAGGTATACAATTCTCATGTTTGTCACT